TTTCTCGGCACCATATGGGGGTGCGCAAGGGGTGGTCCCCGAGCGCGGCGTCTATTCCCCCAGCGCGGCGCTTATGCGGGCCATTGCGTAGGGCATAGCAAGCGTGTCATTTTCTCGGCACCATATGGGGTGCGCAGGGGGTGTTCCCCGAGCGCGGCGTCTATGCGGGTCATGGCGTCGGGAAAACTTTCGCAGGTTTTTTTGCAACGCAGCGGGGTGAATCAAAAGGCGCTTGGTTCCTCGAGAGCAGAATCCTCTCTCCTTCCTTCCGTCCTTCCCTTTTCTCTCCGCCCTGTCCCTTTCGCCCTCGTTCCTCTTGCCTCCCCTGGTTGTTGTCGCCCCCATCCTCCTTCCCACCCTCCCATTCCGCCCTTCCCTCCCATTCCGCTCATCCGCGTAGCAGGCGTGGCGTATTCTCATAACCTTAAGGGTCAGCAGGTGGTGGTCTTTCAGCGCGGCCGCTATCCGAGCCGGTCGTCCAGGGCGTAGCAGGCGTGGCACTTTCTTGACACCGTAGGGGGTGCGCAGGGAAGGGCCACCAACATCATTCTCACATGCGTCATTTCAGCTATCATCAGCCCTGCCAGAATGTATAAGTATGTGGGGTTCCTCGGTAACCTAATTGTTTAGCGCATCCCTCACACGGTTCGTGGCCCCTCCTCCTCCCCGCCTCCTCCTCCCCTCCTCCTCCTCCCTCCTCTTCCTCCTCCTCCTCCTCCTCCTCCCCCTCCTCCTCCTCCTCCTCCTCCTCCTCCTCCTCCTCCTCCTCCTCCTCCTCCTCCTCCTCCTCCTTCTCCTCCCCCCCGCGCAACTGCCCATGCCCGAGCTTCCCCGAGTCTCCGAGACTCCAAGCTTTCGAGCCTCTTCGAGGCGCCGAGCTGCACCTCCCCCAGGGGCAACGATTGGGGGGATAAGGCATAAGGGGACGCATCGATCCCCAATCGCCCATTGATCGCAGAGAGTGGCTCCATAGCCCGAACCTGCCCAGGAACGCGCGGATTCACGATCGGGCGCCCATCGCCGGTGCATCGGCGACGCATCGCCGATTCCAGGTCGATGTTCCCCCCCAATGCCTATCCCCCCACATCGTTGCCTCTGAGTGCGTCGCAAGCCTCAGCCATGTCCCAGGCCGCCGAGCGCGCCCAGGCGCGACCCAGCAGGTCGCGGCCCTGCATGGGGGTCGCGACCCAGAGCGCGAGCCCGAGCGCGAAAGAGATTCTCGAGCGCATGGCCAAGCAGAGCGAGCAGATCCTCGACAAGCTGTCCTCCATCGCTGACAAGATCGCGATTGCCGAGACGCGCCAATGCCAATCGAGCGCGCAACGCGCTGACGCAGCAAGAATGACGGCCTGCTTTTTCAAGGTGGACTGCGCCCTGCGGTCGGTGAGCGCCCAGCAAACCGTCCTCGCGATGGTCTACGACGGCGGTTTTCTCAAGAGCATCGAGCACGGGTGCATCTTCAACGAGAAGGACAAGAGGCGCGTCGAGCTGGCGGTGACGTTGTTCTACGAGGCTTACTGCGAGAAAGACGCCCGCCTCTGCGACATCTTCGAGAATCGCGGAGAGCCGCCCGAGAACCTCTTCTGGCTCATGCCGAGCTTCAAGTCGAAGGTGCTCGAGCTTGCCAAGGAGAAGGACATCGAGCTCGGCGCCAAGAGCGCCCAGTACCTCAGCTTCGGCCCCCACGCCGAGCGCGTCGGCAAGGCCTTCGCCGATATCCCCTTCCGAGCTCCCCCACCTCCACGACCCCGTGCTGCCGATCAACAAGAGCTTCGAGCCCATCGAGAAGATGCCCGGGGATTTCTCCTCCGGCGCGCCAGCCGATCAGCCCTTCGAGATGATCCCCCACAAGGCCAGGCAATTCGTCAACTGGTGCCGCGACTACGGCGCGGCGCAGGGCATTGGCCGCGCGCGAGATACCACGCAAGCGGTCGCCAAGCGGCGCTGGCGCCTCAAGCGCACTGCCGGCATGGCCTACGAGCTCCAGGAGGTGAGCTGCATAGACAATCGCTCCAATCATGACAACAGAGTGCTCATTTCTAATTCGTGCGCTGCACGTGGCCTCCGCCGCCCTTTCGGCGCGCTTCATTTCTAATTCGTGACCGGAATTGCAAGTGACCGGAATTAGGCATGAACGCGCTTGTTAGGCCCCGGAGGCCCCAGGGCAAATGCATTCGAGCGCGCGCCCGAGTCTGGATCTGGGGCGAGCCATCCTCGATCGGGCACGCGTAGACGTGACGCGCAAATCCTGCGTGTCGCGCGCACGTGGCACGCAAAATCTGCGCGTCACACGGAGCGCGCCTGGGGCGGCACGCGCAGAATCAGGGGGGCGGACACGTAAAATCTGCACGTCGGGGGTCCGGGGTCCGGGGGCCGGGGTGGGGGCACGCAGAATCTGCGTGTCACGCGGGCCCCGCCAGGGGGGCGGGCGCGCAACATCTGCGCGTCGCACGCCAGGGGTCCTGGGGGCCCGGGTGGGGACGCGCAGAATCTGCGCGTCACGCGGCCCCAGAATCTGCGCGTCGCACGCCGGGGGCCCGGGGGCCGGGGTGGGGACGCGCAGAATCTGCGTGTCAAGCGGGCCCCGCCAGGGGGGCGGTCACGCAAAATCTGCGCGTCGCA